TTATTTCTGGGATTCTTAGTATGTACTGTAATTCAAATATTCCTAATCATCATAATTTTACTTGCTAATCCCTAAACACTTTCATTCCTTTTTCCCAGTCCATGTCGTCCCATGATAAACTTATGATTTTTGTCGTGATTGGAGTTTGATATCGAGAATGAGGTATGACGTAATAGGCCACCCCAAACTTCTAAACCAGAGTTAGTGAACAACCGGTCAAAGAGAAATCTGTTTATTCGAAAATTGCAGCAGACTGGTTCACTGTTATAATAATATTGTAAAAATATCAATAACACCTGTCTTATGAACAGTAATAAGAATAAGCATCATTCGTACTTTCGTTATACATTCACACCGATTCTAAAATCAAACCACGAACGAGACTATAATATGGAGATGCTGAAGTCATAAAGCTAAATGTTATCATGACCAAACAGGATTGAAGATGCCACAGGTATTCGGAGTTTGACATCGCTTTAACCAGTAGCACCTCTTAATATGAATCGTACCCACTAAGTGAAATCAAAAGACAGAAGTAAGGATGTTCAAAAATGTATTTGATAGGCTATCAATACATCGAGGATAGTCTGATCTAATCTGGCTAGCGATTGTAGGGGTTGTTGAGCACGGCGTTCCTACTCGTGATCCGGTGCGGATGCATGACTGAGTGCCTTCAGCTAAGTGAGTTCATTAAAACTAATATGGTCAGCATCCAATGTCGTAAACTTACACAGCTATTTATTTTAGGGATTTATTTACCGCTCCAGGACCAATAATATCGGCACTTTAGTTTCCTTGGCACTCGTTATAGACCCTGACATTCAGGTATTCAGTCTAGATTGTCAGGTTTGTTTGTGAGCACTCCTCTACGATTAACTCTATGCCATCAAAAAACTGATCATTGACAAGTGTATAGCACTGGATGACACTTTATCCCCTTCAGTCTTTGTTTTGAAAAAATGCTTTGACGGTCCTGAACCCGTAAGATTCTCACCCTATAAGTGCTGTTCGTGCTTTTACAGAGAGCATCAAAGCAACCACTTATGTATGTGGGATCTTCTTCATGATCAAGACACAAAAGCACCTCTCTAATATTTATTTATTTGATCACGTAAATATTGGAGCAGAGAGGCACTGAATACATGTGAACCATACATGTCACTTGACTTGTGTATGGGCTATAATACTGCTTGGGTCCTCAAACCGAAGCGGATAGTTTTCATCTTCTTAGAGGAATCACTCTCCGAGCCTATTATCTGAGAGACTAATTCAAAAGGCAGTGCAGCAACGTTAGGAGATGCAGTCACATGGTAGCCGGTGCCATTTGTTCTCTCAGGATCATGAAACCTATGTCCACCATTGGTTTAGAATCAGGGATTTTCAACTCTTAGGTAGAACCACCATATCTACTAGCCCGGTTGAAGTGTCAGGCATTGTCCTATCAGTTTCTTAAATAACACCCCCAGTGCGATAAGGCAGTGGGTGGACTTCCCTTGAAGTAGCTGTATACGCGTGGCCATGTGGGAGCATTTCGCCAGAGGGAGCTGGCTCTCCCCATCCTCGGCTGTACCAAGGCATTTGGGGGCTTCCCGACCTGTCTTGAGCAAGCTCTCTACCACTGAGCTACAACACCGATACCTCACTAAAAGCTAACTTCATCTGTCATGACTGGGTCGAATATGTTCTCCTTATCCCGAAAACCCAAATGTTTTGTCCGCACATTTCCTCAGATACTTAAGTAGTCCTACAAGTCTCCCAAATTGTTCGCACATTCCATATACCTATGTCAATTGTTGCTCATGTTGTCAGAACAGTTATCAGTCTCGTTACTTACGACAAATATTGAGCTTAATTATAAGGCGTCACAACGCTTACAAATGAAGGTCTTTAAACTCCCAGGGCAGATTCTAAATGTTTTAAATAATTTTTTCTGGCTAGCGTCCTTCTAGAGAGATTAACTGTGACTTTCGTAGCGTCGCTCTAAATTATTATTTCACAAATTTTTATGCTGATATCCAGTTTCACTCTATATACTATTACATAAATCTACATGTATTTATCCGAGTGCACTAAAGGATTTTTATTTTTTTTAATTGTTGGTTTACTTCAGAGGTTGATATTGACTACACAATTATTATTATCATGGTTGAACACTTACATTAGGTGTTCATTTCTTTTCTCTCTTTTTTCCATCTAAATAAATATTATTAAGATTCTGAAGTTCGTAGTTAAAACAACAACTTATGTTACAATTAAATTAACTTCTCAGACTCGTTTTATCTTCACTATACATTTATGACTTACGCATATTGATATTTGGTTGTCCTTTGCACTTAATTGAGACTTTCATAGCATCACTCCAAACTATGACTATACAAACACTTAATCTAACGTCATATCTTACTGCAGTAATAAGTTATTTTTCCTTGATTATTTTCCATTTTATTCATGTTACTAATTTGAAGCCACAAACATAGTCATTTATTCTTGTTCTGTGTTCATAAACACGCCTATTAAACTATTTGAGTATTTCATGTTTCCTTTATTTCTGTTGCCTTATTTTCTCTATTTCCTTCTTTAAACTCAATTCAATATTCTTCTCAATTACACGTATCCTGATTTATTATTATTTCATTATCATTATTATATCTTCTCTTTTTCAGATATGGCACATATAATGCTAACATTATTGAAAATTGTATTATTGCATTTTTGACGAAACCCGAAATGGTTTCTTCACAACACTTATGTACCCATAAGATGTTTGTGAATAATAATAATTACTATTATTTTCTACGTGGTGGCGCTGCTAGTCCTATACCTTACCCTTCTTCATTGAGGGTTAGGACCGGAAGTAGCCTTAGGAGGACTCTGAGTTGTAGTTCAGTTACCAGTCGACGTAAGTTTGTACATAGCCACGAAACTAGTTTTTACCAAATGTATCTATTATTAGTGAATGTTTAACCGTTGCTGAGGTTTTTCGTGGGAGAAACATGAGTGACATCTATTAGTGATTTAAACCACAAGGTTACAAAGAACCAATGGATTTCCTCAAGGTCTATTGCACTGATGGATTCTCGTAAACTCATCCCATCAGGCTCTGAACACGATGAAGAGCGACAACAAATCAGATCTAGGTCAACCAAAAGTCTAAGGAACGACCGTGAGTAGTGGTGGGCAACGAAAGCAAATGAGATGGAAAAGGCTGCGGTTATAGGGAACATAAGACAGCTCTACAGACTAATAAAAGAAACTGGAATTAATAAGTCAAGTATAAGTCAGACTATCTCGGAAAAAGACGACACTCAACTGCTCCCAGTCCAGACGTTTAGAACGGTGGGCGGAACATTTCAGCTGGCCTCCAGCTACTCTACAACTACCCTCCATTCCCAAACAGCCTGAATGGAACGTTGAAGTAGGTCCCCCGACTCCAGCTGAAGTTCAAAAGTTTATAGTTAATCTGAAACGAGGAAGGGCAGCTGGTCCAGATGGATTGAATCCAGAGGTCTTTAAGGATGGTGGTTCAATTTTAGCGATTAGGTTGACCAATATTTTAGCTAAAATCTAGGAACTGAATGTAATCCCGTCTGACTAGTCGCAATCATTTATCGTCACAATACATAAGAAAGGGTCAAATTCATTCTATGAAAACCATAGAGGGATTAGTTTAGCTAATACAGCATCAAAAATGCTAGCCTCAGTAATTATCGGACGCCTAACTAAGACTCGTGAACTGCAAACACGAGAGAACCAAGCTGACTTCAGACCTGGTCGTGGCTGCATCGACTACATATTCACCATTCGTCAGGTTATAGAACATAGGCATACTTATCGGCGTCCAACAATGGTAGTCTTTCTTGACTTGAAAGCAGTATTTGACTCTGTAGATCGACAGGTTCTTTGGCAGTGTCTATCATTGAAAGGCGTACCTCAGAAGTACATAAACGTTGTGAAAGCTCTTTACTCGAACACTACTAATTGAGTCAGAGCTTATGGCGAACTTTCGTCTGCTTTTACAACCTTAAGTGGTGTCCATCAAGGCTGTCCACCATCTCCATTTTGGTTCAACTTCATCATAGACCTACTGCTGGAAATAACGTTCTCGTCAACTTCATTTTCAGGAATTAATCTCCTACTAGGAGGTCCACTTACAGACTTAGAATACGCAGATGACATAGTCTTGTTTGGTGAAAACGCTGATAAAATGCAGAGTCTTTTGGTAGCACTGAGCAACAATGCCAGGATGTTTGGGATGCGTTTCGCCCCTTCTAAATGCAAGTTGTTGCATCAAGACTGGCATGCGTGAACACCCGAACTAAGGATAGGGAGCAAAGTATTCGAACACGTCGACAACTTCACTTACCTTATATATATATACTCGCGTTTTAATGTGGCAACATAGGCCGATGCACATATATGCCAGGTTCCAAGTTACATGTGACTAAGTATTACTTTATTAAGGCATTTCATTTACTCATCAGGAGAAGACCAAAAAAAAACTCAAAACTATCATACGGTCTTCATTCTCTTGATAGTTAGCTAAACCATCTAACTCTTCCCAGCCATTATCTTGACACATTTATAGCCCGAATAAGACCCACATTTCATCCTCCCCTAACAGAAAAAATGGAGACCAACGAATACGATGAATACAAATAACGACAAACGAATTACTAGAAATCACGAACCATTTTCAATATATCGAAAACACAGACTACAATGAGAGAAATATTTGGTTGATTAAGTATGAAAGTATACGTAAAGTCAGCCACGAGATTTGTAAAATAAACAGAAATGAGTAATAGTATTCGTAATGCCAAAAAATGTAAATGACACGAAAATCAAAAGTGCGTTTCAATAACGTAGAACTTAACGGCAAAATACACACAAAGCCATTCATATATAGAAGGAATAGTAAGCTTATTAGGAAAAAATCACTTATATATATATACAAATAATTTACTCATTTAGTTTCTTAGATAGTCAATATCCATGACTGATTAATTGATAGCATTACTAGTTAACTCTTCATAACACATTTGGCACACACGAACGGGATCTTTACTAAACGTTGTAGAAGCCCGATTAGAAGAACAGTTTTGGCAAAATATACCGCCACAATTTCTACAATGATGCTACATATGGAAAAGAAAAAAGGATGTCATCATTCGTAACTAATTATCAAGTAAGTATTAAAAGTACACTGGATTACAGTGTGTCAACATCACTTTAGATACATGAAATATAATAGAGAATTTTACTTACATAATACGAAGCTTCAAGACATCGGTTATTTTCAGTATAGGATTGTAGAGATTGTTGAATTTCATTGAGATTATGAACTGATCTAAGTGAGACCAGGACTGAAAACCTAGAACTAACGAAACAACCGTATAGTACTCTTCAATAAAGTACATCTACTATCTCGCGTGCTGAAATCAAACCCAGAACCTTCGGTCTCGCGTATGGTCGCGTAATCTCTAAGCCAATGAGTCTACATCCAACGGTGTTAATGTCTGACTGAATAAATCCACGATTTTGGGCGACCATTATTGACAGAAACCAAAGTATGAATACCAAGTAAATTGTATAATCTTCCAAACATGTACTAACGATCAAGGTTGAATAAGAATTACCAAAAATCGAAACTAAACTGTTCAGAAATCGATACACTTGGTTAAATGTTAAAGTCATGAATGTAAAAATCAGTCAATTTATTTATTTAAACACATAAACAATGATGTAAAGGTCATCAAAAGATGTATGCGCAACGCAAGTCACTGAATTCATACGTGGGTTAGGATACCTCTCGGGTGCCCAAACTGAAGTAGCTAGTTTTCTTAGAGGGCAAGTCCCAGAGAATTTGACCAAAACGTTTAATCTGCAAGGCAATGGGGCAACGTTAGGAGATGCGGTCTCATGGTACCTGGTGACCTATCATAGGTTCATACGCCGTTTGTTCCTTCAGGAACCTGAACCCAATGTGCACCATTGAGTTGAAATTCGGGTTTTCCAACCCATTGTGTTGGGTTTTCGAGGGTGGTGGGACTTACGATGAAACGACATAAAAATTTCTAGATAAAGCAAGCTTTTGATAACTTAAAATTTCACAAAAACAAAATCCGAACAAAAATAAAAAATTTTGGGAAAGCAAATTAATTTAATTTTTGTCAAATGAACTTAAAACGGTGTTACTTATATGCCAAACTCCCGAGTGGGATGGAAATGTCCATGAGAGTCGCACTGTAACCTGTGTCTGGTTCTTATCGAGAACAAAACGTGTAAGGATATAAAATATAAATATACGCAATACGCAAGGCGAAATTCACGTATTGTATTTTTAGTTCAAGCATTCTGTCAAAACCCGTTGTGCGAGTAGTCTTTGTATTTCAGCCACAAACCAGAATTACTGACATTCTGATAAGTCGTATGATTCCAGACCGATTGAGTACTGTTTCAAGGCCATACGGTATAGACAAACCTTTGTAGCTAAGTGAATTATTTTACCTAGCTTCATCTGGTTCATGCTAACAGTATGGATTTATGTGGATGATAAATATATTCACTCGGCCATCAGAGTAAAGTTTTCGAAATATTCTTTATCTTTTCGCTGTAACCCCACTGATTGGGTCAATCGCTAGGAAGAGTGTGATTTTGACTGAAATGAATTGGTCGATCATCACAAACTTGGAATTCAATATACAAAAAACTAAAAGTATACCTCTAACATAATCTGAATTTTGAAATGACATCAAGTAATATAAGATTTTTCAGTCTTTACACTGTAGTATCATATTTACAGTATTTCGTTTAAAACAATGAATCAAATTATTTAATATGACATGGATATGTTTGTAGGGAAACTGAATTTTAAAAATATCCGTGTTACTAGATACAAAATTAACCAAACGACTGAAGACAAAGAAGTTTATGACATATTAATTACTAGTCAGAAAGTTAAGTCAGTCAGTCAGCTACGACCTAGGACCAGGCACATATATGTATCGGTCCAACTTGCCATACCCCATTAGCACAGCAAGATGAACACTGGATTCATAGAAGTAGTTAATTCAGTGGTGGTAATATATAAAAGAAAGATCGCATATAAGGAATTAGTACAGGAAAAAAGAATTAGTTCGTAGAAAGAAAGATATGAAACGATTTTCATCTCTTAGTTTAAGGAAAGATAGAGAGTGTACACAACTACGTCATAGCGATCGACTCTGAGCCATGTCACCCAGAGTCTCCAATCATTGGTTACGATAGTCACGTGGACCCCAACCAAGTAGTCTGCATCTGCCAACATGGCTAAGACTAGAAGTTAGTGACTTCAATCACTGATGCCACGTTTTGGTTTGGCCGCCCTTAACTTTCTTCCAGCCATCCCCCCATCCATTTACCAGTTAACCCTAAAATTAAATCTTCTAAATATTCACCGGAACAATGTGAGTTTTCTAATAATTTAAACATATAAATGATAATAAATTTTAGAAGAAATCTTCGTAAATGACTAAAGTGTAGAACAAGATAAATAAGTTTTAGATGGTGGTTGGAGGTAGTCAACAGGAAACCCTGGACCCGGGTTTCGTGCTACTTGGCACTCGTCAGCAAGGTGTACCTGTAATCTTGAGGGAACTGATGCTTCCTGGCGGATTCGATCTCGTGTCACCCAGCTTCACAGTCAGAGACGTTACCACTGAGCTATCTGAGCCGTGATAAATGAGTTTATTGATCGGTTTATCAATTCTCATGTCAACAAGTTGATCCAAATGAATGAACGACAGCATTTACAATCTTCAGAAAAACAATATTTCATTCAATTCGAACAACAATTAGTGACTCCATTACCAGGTATACATTCATGGGCTGTGCTTTAAGCTACATTGTATCTATAAGAGCTTTGTGATACTATCCAGCTGATCAAACCGAATGGGGTGGAGCAAAACTCAAACTTTAGAAATATTGATGGAAAGTCGAGCGATTTAGCCTCTAAGTCACTGCTTCAGTGAATGTACACAATTCATTTATTACATGTTAGTCTACATTGGAAGATTTCAGCATAAAATATAGAACAATTAGACGAATTCCTGGCCATTAAATACTTAATTTGCAAGGATTCAGAAAATACGGAAAAAGATGCTTTTATAACGGTGGTCTATCAAACTAAAAAACAGTGTACATGATATCGAGTTACGTGAACTGGTTGTTGTCCTGAAGAACGTCACTTACTTACGCTTTTTACCCCTCATGGAGGATTATAGGCTTCCCGCCAGCATTCTCCATTTAACTATGTCTTGGGCAATCTTTCCCAGGTTTTTCCAGTTGCTATTCATCCGTTTCATATCTGCTTCCAATTCCCTAAACAGTGTGTTCTTTAGACTTCCTATTTTCCGTTTCTATTCAGGATTCCAAGTTAGGGCTTGCCTCGTGATTCAGTTCAATGACTTCTGCAATATGTGTCCTGTCCACTTCCAGCGTCTTTTACTAATTTTCTCTTCAATTGAAAGTTGATTTGTTCTCTGCCACAGTAGGTTGTTGCTGATGGTATCCGATCAACGTACATTGAGTATCTTGAGTAGACAACTGTTTATAAATATTCGTACTTTTTGATGGTGGCTGTAGTATTTCTCGAAGCTTCAGCTCCGTACAGTAGAACTGTTTTGATGATCGTATTGAAGATTTTAACTTTGATATTGTCTGACAGATAATTATTTCGAGTTTCATATGTCCTTCAACAGTGGGAATGCTGTCCAACCCAAATACTTCAGTAGTAACATTTTTGAATCTAGCACCACAACGGTCTAATTTTTACACGAAGTATCAGTTTCTTCGAGATTACAGATATGCCTTGCTGACACGTATCAACTAGTAGGAAACTTAAGTATAATGCATCCATTCATCTAACGCCACTTAATAAATCAGTAAACTTTATTCAGTAGTAAAACTCATTATACACATTTAAATTAGTTCAATTAAAGAGTAATCGGAGAATACGTATTACAATTAATGATTAAAACAATGAAAAACCATATTGTTTATATTAGCTAGAACAAATAAAAAAAATAATCATACCCTTCGTGTGCTGATAGAGAATTCACGATCACAACCGAAACATGTTAAAGCTTCATCATCTTTAGTCCATTGACGATTAGTTAAACGATCGCGTAAAACCTAGTGAAATTTAGAAGTAATAGTTTGAATTATTATTATTATTAATAGAAGGGTTTTTTGTGAATATTATAGTAATTTTAATAGTTGAGATCCTGAGTCAATTGAACCCCTACTGATATTAATCAACATATGATCACTAGTTGCTGACTTCAAAAGGTATTTCCTGGAGTTCTAGTGAGAAGCCATGACCAGTGGATTTCAATCGGGTCTGTTGTGAGATATTAACTCACTGATGACAATAGTGAACGGTGACGCAATTTCGTGGATTGGTTGAAGTTAGACAGTAACACTGTAGGATGCCGGCCAGCTCAGTGGTCTAGGGGTTAAGCGTTCGCGCGCGAGACTGATAGATCCTGGGTTCGAGTCTGGCGAGGTGGGATCGTGGATGTGCAATGCTAAGGAGTCTCACAATAGGACGAAACACTAACACCATCGTATACCGATCCTGTGGTCTATAGGTCAAACTTTCACGCGTGAGACCGAGAATCCTGGGTTCGAGTCTTATGTGTGAGATGGTTGATGAGTACTGTTGAGGAGTCCCATACTAGATTGAAACGGCCGTGAAGTGCTTCCAGGTTTTCCATGGTGGTCTAGCTTCAATGAACTTATGATCTCAACTATTAAAATTATTAATATTACCTGAAGTATTTGATTTTCTCTACCTAATTCAACAACAGCTATTTGTAATTCTTTAAGTTCTTTCAATTTAGAATTTAATTCACTTCGAAGATTTGAACTTGCATCTTCAGCTTTAATTAATCTGTAAATAATTAATGATTAAAGAAGAAAAACAACAACTCATAAATAAACTGTTATGTTTTGTAAGCTTGAAATATATGGAATGAATAAAACACACCGAGTTATATAAGTAGACTAGTAATGTTGTAATTTTAGTTAAAAAATATGTGATTTAAGCAAAATTCTCTTCATGTAAACCACTCCCATATATGCACTGAACGTTTTCAGCGTAAATATTAACAGAGGAATAGACTGTAGTAAGCAATGTTCAAAATAGACAAAACTATCAAATGAGTAATGACAGTAGTACACGTTAAATATCAGGTAAATATGAAAGATTAATTGATAAGATCGGGAGTGTTTATTAGTCGATAAAGTCGAAATAACCGCCGCATATCTGTTGTCACTATCTACACCTCTATAAGTTATTCTGCTTGGTAGCGTAGGTCTATATTAAACATAGCCAACAGTCGTTAACATAAACTATCAAATAAACATATAAAGTGATCAACTTTCAATTAGAACCTTGTGAACAAGTGGATGTATACTAGTTATGATTTATTAGATTACTGTAAGACAATAAGTGTAAACTTTCTAGTCAGTTTCAATGTTATAATTTATGTGTATGTCGCGTGTACTATTGATGTCAACAGATATAAGTAGTATGTATCACCAATTGAAAGGGGAATGCCTGGTGGCAGAGAATTGAAGAAAATTGGAGAGAACGAGAACAGAGAGTGATTGGCATAGGAACGAAGGAACAATAGGATTTGAGAAAATTGATGGGCATTTTGCAAATGAAGTATTTACTGTATGGTTCTCAGATTTTACCAAGATATTCTGTAACGTTGTACTCAAATACATTTGATTGTCCACATTCGTGTTCTCGTTCACTACACTATAAACAATAACCATATTTGAATTCACTTGGTATTTTTTGGCTTGTATCTTCCCATTGAGGTTTAAGACTGCAATTGATCAGTCTGTTATTGGCATATGTGCATACTGTGCGTATGCCTCGATATTGCCTTAATTCACAAGACTTTTGTAAGCAATGATGGATAGTGGTTAGCAGTAGAATGCAGGACGCGCGTTTCGTCCTATTTGGGACTAGTCAGCTGGATGTACTTGCATCTCATACTTGATGTTCACTCTGGGACTCGAACCCAGTACCATTCGCTTCAAACGCCATCGCGTTATCCACTCAGCTACTGAGTCCTGATAGCCACCATATTTTGTGCCAAGAAAAATAACATTGATTAAAACCTACTTTTCCATGAGAGAATCAATTTCTTTCTTGGATAATTTTGATTCGGCTATAAATTAAAAAGAATAAAAGTAAGGAAACAAGTTAGTCATAATCAATATTAGAATCTGGGAAAAATATACGCGTAAACTTAAATTGTTTTGTTACCCCACATCAGAACGATATCATGAATGGCAAACGAGTTGAAATAATAGTAATAACAATGATACCGAGAAAGACGGAATCCTTTCTTCTAGATTATATGTATTATATTTATATTTCCATTACTATTTAGCTTTCAATATTTATGTTTCGTTGTTTCATTAATCTCCTCATTCGTTTTCTTTTTTTCGTTCGTCCCCGACTTGTACTGATGTAAGATATGACAATTTCGACCTACACATATTTATTTGAAGTCCTATGTTATCTATAGATGATTGGTGAAATTCTTCTTCCAGCCTCGAGGGATTTATCACTAAGTGACATGGAATAAGACAACTTATTTAGTAATCAATAATCTTCGATTATTTTCTTCTTGTTGTTGTTGACCAACATAAAATTTTATAAAGAAAAGTGTACCTTCAAGATATTCAATATAAAAACATTATTGGTGTTGTTATGTCTCGACAAGAATAATGAATGGCAACTCTTGAGATCTATTGATGGACCAATACTAAACGTATATTTCTATTGTATAATTATTAAGTAACTAAACTATGCACATTCATATTCCTCTTATTATAAGCTTTATTTTGACCTATATACTATTATTATACGTTTTACCATTCTTGAGTTATAACCAGTATATTAATTACTACCTCCCTCATTCACAGCCACATCTGGCTAATTCTTGTACAAATGTTGTTTCATATTTTGTTGGTAAGTTGTGGTCTGTTTGATTGGTATATAAACTCAATATGTTTGAAATATAATGATCAATATCGCAGAGGCTGAGACTTGTGTTCTGGATTTAACTGACTGGTCTAGGCGGAAACCAGGGCCAATCAATACTCTAGACTGCTCGCGCGTGTTTTACGCGTCCTTGGTTCGATCGATAAGTCACTGCCCTCTAATCGGCGGTCACAAGTTATGAATATGAGAAATAATTCTTGAATAAATTAATTCAATAGAGAGTGAATATGTAAATGTATAGCACAAAATGTAAGTCATAGTATAGTAGATTAGATGAAAATAAAACAAGATTTTTCATAGAGCTTATTTTTTGGTTAAAAATCGAGTATTCTAAAATTGTACTCATTAGAAAACCAGTTATGCAATATTATGGTGTGATCTGCTTTTCATCACATAAAGAATCAGGAATAATATAAAGTATGTGAGAATAATGATCATTAAATGATATGCTTTACGGAAAGTATTGATGTTTCAATGTATTATGTTTTAGCTTTGAACATTAACAAAGGATATAAAAACTATGTGGTTAGTCTTTAAAGGTTGGTTTTTGGTATAGGGCGGTCCTTAAGTGGCCATGTATCTGACTCCAGTTGGATTGTTCGCTGAATATCTTAGAAATATATATCCTGGCTACCCTCGTATATAATCATCGGCTCAAATCGAGTTAGTGAATAACGAAATTAGAATAAGTCAAATGTGAGAATGAGGTTTGAATACATATATTTCATACAATTGTTGATCCAAACAGACGATTAGAGAGACGAAGCGCAACGGACCGAGGGAGGTATGTGAGCCAACTTAATTTGATAAAGAGGGACTCAATTTTTATATTCAGACAAAAATAAATTACAGACAGATGATGAATAAGGTAAGTAATTAGCACACATACGAGCATATAAAAACAAACAGAGTTAACAAGAGAATAAGTGACAAGGTTAAAAGGTAAGAATGAAAAAATTGCTCGATTCAGGAGCTAGAATAACCTATGTGGGCTGGACATAGTACCAGCCACTATAGTTCACAGTCATTCATTAATTATATAACTACATGTGTTGTTTAACCATGCTTGCGTTTTGGAGATAGTGTAAATTATTACAGAAATAGAATGATAACTTGATAATTAAAGCAATCAGATTTTAAACAATAGGTCAGAGGTCCGAATCCTACTCCATTTACATCAATTTAGGTAGTCAGAATGGGTTACTAGCATTCACATAAATAATGTAGCTCAAAGCTCAGTACATAAAACTAGTAATTACTAAATAAACTACTCTTGTAAAAGACTAGTTTTCTACCTCTTATTGCGCATAACTTCTTTATATATCGTCAATTTGTATTAGGCTCGTATAAATCGTGAAATAAGTCATCAGTCTCTATCATATTAAGTATTCTATTCAGCTACTGATAGATGAAAGATGTAATTTCCTTGCATACGCAATAAACACGCAAACTAAACTACTAATATAGTTGTCATTATCAATGGGATTCTGACAACCATGCTTAATCACGCTTTAACTAACAAAACTTGGCATTTCATGGTGTTTATATTCGCTTTAAAGCTTAAATAGTATACCAAGAAGCTAGAATCAGAATGATGTAAAGACCTTAGAGAAGAGCATAATTTGCAAAACTTTTCCAAGATATTTTGAATAAGAGAAACGGGAATGATGATAAATATGAAAAGGTTAAGAGTGATTTACTTAAGATATTGTGAAATAAACTTATGACATCAGTTCGCACATTTTTGGACAAAGTAGTATTTGACAGAAAGAAATAATGTACAGTTTAGTTACCAACCGGAAACCGAAAAAAAAACAACTTTACATTCACTTTCATACTTAAAAAATGATAAAAACTCATGTTTGATTACTTTGTGACTCTGAACGAATACTTTCAAGATTCTTCTCTAAACTAATTAATTTCTCTTGACAGATTTGATTTGATTTTACAGCATCATCAGCTTCAATTTGAAGTTGATGACATTTTGCTTGAAGAGTAGAATTTAAATTTTTCGATTCGGTCAATTCATCAGTTAGTCGATTCTGTAATGGAAGAAACATATATTTTATAACCTAATAGTTCTTTTTTAATGCAAAGTTTAAGGGATTTTCAATACAAACATCAAGACAGTTCTACTGTACGGAGCTGAAAATTCGAGAACTACTACAATCATCATCACAAAAGTACAGGTATTTATAAACAGTTGTTTACGCAAGATATTCAATGTCCGTTGGTCGGATACGATCAGCAACGATCCACTGTGGCATAGAACAAGCCAGCTTCCAGGTGAAGTGGAAATTGGGAAAAGACGATGCGGGTGGATGGGGCATCACAAAGCCTGTCCTAAATTGAAATTCTCAAGAGGAAAGGAAAAGAGGCAGACCAAAGTAGATATGCCGCCGAGAACTGAAGATAGAGATCAAAAAAGTGAAAGGCACTCGGGAACAACCGTTAAAAGAGAGTAGAGGACAAAGTAGTCTGGAGGATCCTAATCGGCAGCTTATGTCCTATGAGGGGTTACAGGAGTAAGTATCACTCACAACGTTAAGTATTTGTCACAGATTGTCCATTAGTCTTCATTAACAACATGCACAAATGCAGTTGATAAATGGAGTTCAAATATAAAGGAAAAGAAACGCTTTGAAGGTGCCTTGGCCACTGGTATGGATGTTTTAATTGTGAAGCTTTTATCGTTCCTCCAGACGTTATGAGCACATACTTCAAAGAAATAATGTTGGCCAGTGGAAAAAATGAATGATTCAAGATTAAGACAATCAGACCAGAGGACATAAAATCTTCATCTTGAATTACAAATATTCCATATCATCTCAAAAAGAAATCCTGTTTATAATTCTCAGTTAAAATACTTGATCTAGTTAAATCGTTGAAAGTATAACTAATAATGACTTCAAAATTAGTTTCTGAGTTCTCTGCCATTTAAAGTAGAAAAAAATATCCACAGAAAGGAGCCTCACCGTAAACTAATCAAGAAGTTTGCAACATACTTTAGATTGTTGAATACTATATTGAACCAGATAATTTTGATCTTCATTATAAAACTAATAAATATGGAGGCTGACAACACCTTGAATGAACTCTTTAAACATATAGTATTAATTGAATTCTAGTCATCACAATCGTAAACATCTTGAACGTGGACTTCAAGTTCCTAAGGGAACAAATGGCCCATGAACCTATTGTTGGTCATCGGCTACCATTGGACTGCATCTCCTAACGTTGCTGCACTGACTTGTGGATGAGACCTCTAGATCAAATACTCGAGTAGTCCTCTAAAAAAATTAACTACTTCAATTTGGGCAACCGGGAAGTATTCCTAGCCCTCATGCAAATCGAATGATTTATAAGACGCATATATAGTGCCTCTTTGTAGCAATGTTTATATGTTTAAATAGATAAATAAGCACTACATATATATGATCCATGTCTATGGAGTCCTTCAATAAAAATGTTTAGACGCATATGACCTCAGGGTTATTATATCATCTCTGGAATTTCGATTTACAATGTCCCATATAATATTCAGAAATAGTGTAAATATAAACGATTTGCAGTAAGAAGTCTATGAATTTGACGACTATGTTTGACGAATTTTCGGCTTGTAAATGTACAAATAAAAAAACAAATCATATGGAAACGTTATAAAACACAATTTAATCCCTATTTATATAAGATATACTTATGTCTAATATCATTACAAATCAATTTATCTGTAATAAACGACACGTTAATGTCTAACCTCAACCAATTCGCGAAATTTCGCGACCATCCTCCATTGTACTAAGGTATCTCTACCTGTCAATCGGTATATGATCTCAATCAAAAACTTAATAATCTCTACAACCCTATACTGATAATTACCATATACTCACTAGTATAACTAGCTTCGTGAGGGAATTCTCAAAGTTCTAATGAGAAGCCATGACCAGTGAAACTAATCCGTGTCAGGCAGAGACAAATATCTTACTTTCCCTTTTCTCTTCATTTTAATTTTGAACGAGTTAACTGAAATGTCATAGCAACTATTTCTACATAAAAATACTTGATAATATAATTGACTTACAATATTATTTTCATATTGTTTTTCTTTAATATCTAATTCACTTTTAATTGTTTCCAATTCAGATTGTATATTCTTGTTTGAATGGATAAGTATAGATGAATCGTCAGTAAGTTTTTTATTCATTAATTTTAACTCTTTTAATTGTCGTTCAAGAATTGATAATTGAGTAGAACGATTTGTTAATTCAGTTTCATATTTATTTAGTTCAGCTTTTTTAGAATCATTAAATTCATTGAATTTAATAGTGATATTATTCAATTCATGTTTCACTGATAATAATTCTGTCTACAAATAAAAGGAAATAGAGATAAATAAATAAATAAATAATGATAGATATTATCGGCTAATCCATTGGGATTTCCCCGAGTGGGTTCGAATCCCATCCTCGTAGCCAGATGTTATATCTTGAATGTTGATTTCATGATATACCGCGTATAACAGAGCAGCACTAGAACACCAAAACCCTTCCAAATCTCAATAAGAAGACAGAAGACTAATGAAAGAAATATTATTCCAAACAGTGTCAATTATAGTATAAAATTGTCAGGTATTTATAGTTTTTAGTAAGAACGAAATCATTATTATAGCCTTCCAATCCGCATACAGGGGGTTATTAGCACTGTCAAATCGGGAAGCTACACGTAGGAATTCTGAAATATTCTTCCGAAAGGTGATTGGATGGAACATCTTCGGCTCATTCTGAGCCTCTTACAGCTTTCTCGAGTTCACCCGTGGTCTGTCGTCACATTATCATACAAAGGTAATGTAAATTGTTGATGGAGTTTTGTTCTTTAAGCTAGATGGTTTAGTTGTGGAGCTTTCATTATTCTTCTGAACAATATCATTAGTACAACATTCAGGGAGAAGTACTCTATCAAAATCATCTACCTGAGCTATAAATCCTCTCTACCATTTCGAAATGACAATTTATCAATAACTAGACAGTGTATATAAGATATGTATTATCAATGTCAAAGTTGGATTCAATAGTTTTAAATAAATTGAGTATTGCGTTAATTTAATTCGAGTACTTATTTACTCTGAAGAAGCGACCTACACTACGTTACGAAACGTCAGAAATACAATTTTTCTACTCATTAGTGTATAACCAAATACATATTTATTATCAGAAGGGTTTTTGTGGATATTATAGTAATTTCAATGGTTGAGATCATGAGTCAATTGATGCTAGACCACCACCATAAAAAACTGGAAGCACTGGAAGGCCGTTTCAATCTAGTACGGGACTCCTCAGCAGTGCGCATCCACGACCCCGCCTCGCTAGACTCGAACTCAGGATCTATCAGTCTAGCGCACGAACGCTTAACCTCTAGACCACTGAGCTGGCCGGCATCCAACAGTGTTAATGTCTAACTTCAATCAATCCACGAAGTTGCGCCACCGTCCACCATTGTCATCAGTGAGTTACTATTTCATAACAGACCCGGTTGAACTTCACTGGTCATGGCCTCTCACTAGAACCCCAGGAAATACCTCTTGGAGACCGTCACTAGTGAGCATATAATGATGACTGTCCAGTGCTTCCAGGTTTCCCATGGTAATCTAGCTTTAAGTTACTCATGAATCCAGCTAGAAAAACAATGGGATGAAGTATTTTTATGTCAAATTTAATGTTGCTCATAAGAGCATAAATTGGGTACATGATTTCCTTATTTTTAAATTAAAACTGTACTAACACAGTTCAATGTAGATTGATAGAAAAAAACGCCATGAGATGGGAATCTTCTAGATATTCTCAGAATAGATCTACCTAGTTTGAATTGATTTCGGACAATTCCATTTGAAGTGTCCTTATGCCTGTGATTGAAGTTTGATAAATAATAGAAGTTTTCATACCTTTACAACGAGAATATTACATCATACTAGTTGGATAAGTGTGATAGTTATCATGACTGTATAGTCTGATATTCAATAGGAATATTTGTGGTGGCTCGGCTTCGATATAATTCCTTAGGCTTCATATATCAATTATTCCAATAATTGTTATGTTTTTTTAATTCCAGCGCCTTATGAATTCAGAAGGCAACACTAGGAATTAACTACAGTTTATTGAATAGAGCAGATTACAAAGTTATAAGCATACCAAACGAATTTGAGCAGAAAAGCTTATACGTTCGAGCGAGCGAATAAAGAGGTGAACTCCGAGTCAAATAAATTAATAAGATTAAACTCATATATATGGCAAAGCAAACGATTCATCAAGTGACTTTAAGTAGCTGACATTTAGTCTAGAGGGGTATGTACATAGGCGGTCACCTGTGTTTAAACGTACATACTCACACAGATATGATAATAATACCAAGATATACAAATTATAACTGTTCGAATAACACTGTTAAATATGTTAACTGAAGTGCTTGACAAGATTCATCGTAAAAAAACTTAAGTGTGGGGGAGGTGCTATACATTACCACTGTGATTAATGTACATCCACTCAACTCACGAAACGAGAATCTTAGATTCCACTGTTAGCCACCGTTTAAAATAGACGAATGAATTATATCTTACGATTTTTAAGTAGACATTCATGATTATTTACACAATCGATTTCTTCGCTTAAGAATTAGCCAGATTACTACTATTATTATTATTATCATCATCATTATTTATGACTTGATTCGACATTATATTTTTGGTACAATATAGAATTCTCAGTACACAATATTTCAACAAGTTCCCTTTTTTATTTGATAGTCCTGGGTTCGAATCCCGCGGGGTAGGGTCATGGATGCGCACTGATGAGGAGTCCCACAGTAGAACGAAACGGCCGCCCAGTGCTTTCAGGTTTTCCATGGTGGTGTAGCTTCAAATGACTCATGATGTCAACTACTAAAATTATTTATTAATTACTTTTTAAGAACAATAGTAATGATAATCTTACTTTTAAAGAATTATTTTCAGATGAGAGAGATTTTAATTTTTCTTCTGATGACAAACTATCCTCAGTCAACAGATTTGTTGTATTTCCAGGTAGGTTGTTCTCTGTTAATCCCTAAGGGAAATTGAATAATAATAATAATAATAATAATAATAATAATAATAATAATAATAATAATAATAAAAGTATAGTATAGATGGATTCACTTTGTCACAATTTCTGATGTGAAAAAATATAGAAGTAATTCTTATAGCTAACGTATGAAGGGAGCCTTATTGATAAGTCCTCTAATTGAACGTTAGATTCGGTTCCTAAGCTATTCTCGTAACCCCCAGGCTAAATATACACAGCGATTTGGATACGAGAGAAAAGGTACAAAATACGGAAGAAAATGCTTTACTCCAAAGGTTCGCTTATGTACAGGAAATCTAGGGTTTTTATAGTATTTTAGATGATCTTGGGTTTCCCGAAAATTCTGGAACGCTACTAAACATAGTAGCAGTATAGATAATCATCCAATCAGAAACTCGATATGTGACTTTTCACTTTTTAGCTGTTTCTGGCATAACTTTTACTGAATACTGATTGAATAAGATGCTTCTCAGTATTTTCAGAGCGATTCTTGGCTTTTTTGGGTTTTCTGGATTTCCCCAACACTTATATTAACTGAAAAATCAATGAATGGAAGAGAAAACAATTGTTTTATTTCAATTGACTATAGCTGATGTTGGTCTACGATTAGAATTATTTCCAATTGAAATCATGAACCGATCTAAGTGAGACCACTATAGAAAATCTGGAAGCACTGAACGGCCGCTTCATCCTAGTATGGAACTCCTTAGCAGTGCGTATCCATGATTCCACAAGTGAGAATTGATACCAGGACCTTCGGTTCCAAGAGGACACTTCATCTCTAAACCAATGAGTCGGTATTCAATAGTTTTAATATTTAACTTCAATCTATCCACCATATTGAGCGAGCAACTTCCATTTTATTCAGTGAATAACTCCCTCACACCCCACAAGGATTAACTCTACTGATCGAGGTTTCTTACTGGAACTCTGGGAATTTCCTCTCAAAGCTAGTCACCAGTGAGCACATGTTATCTGTCAGTATCTCCATCAAAATCATGAAACGTCCATTGCTTTTAGGTTTTTAATGGTGATCTTTTAGTGATCCGGGATCTGACTCCAGTTAGACAGGATAAATGATCGTTATTGAATGATTGCTGTCGAAGTATATATGTCGTCATTCCTCGTATGAAATTATCGACTTAAATCGTGTTAGTGAATAACGGAATTAAATGAGTTATATTTTATATACTCATCGATCTGGGTAGACAATCAGACGGATGAAGCAAAGAGTAAAAAAAGAAGCGAAATGACGAGTAATGGAGGAGGAATGTGAGTCGACACTATTTAATCAAGCGTTAATCAATATTTATAGGCAGATAAAAATAAGCTACAGACGTGTGATGAGCAGAATAAGAAATATACCCACATACGCTTATATAAAAAATAGTCAGGATTAATAAGCGAATAAGTGACAAGGTAAAAGTGTGGTTTGAAAATAATAGATAAGTTGATTTGTCCAGAATCCGGAATAAGTTATGTGGGCTCGATAAAGGACTAGCCACTACAATCTGACTTAGAACTGTTCATGATTTCAATGAAATTTAACTATCTCCGCAACCCTTTAATTGACAATCATTTTCAAATCAAAATAATCTACACAAACTACTTGGGTAAAATAAATGTTGAATACCAGGATAGCCTAGGAGACCATGGTTATCATAATCAACAATGCTATTTTTGATTCATGTGTGGTGTATGCTACTTATGTCTGTCGACATAAGTAGTATTTTGATATCCCAATGAGTAGAAAATTGTATTTCTGACGAATTGTGTCTCAATGAAGTCACGTTTTTATTCACTCTAAATTGGTTTACATTAAGGCTCAACATGTCAGAAATACGATTTTCTACTCATTGGGATATCACAAAAAATATACTTAATATTAAGCGTCTACCCAACGCTCAGTATATTAGAAACTATTAAGTTCATCCTTGACATCGACATAAAAAATTTAGTCAGCATTCACTCTATTTCGCTATTTCCTAATCAATTTATATTATTTTAGGTATTAAGCATGTATATTTGATAATAAAACATTAACCACGAATGCCATGGTATGGTCGAGTGTAGGGAAAATCAGCTCTCTCCAAATGCTCTGACATGGCCACGAGTATACAGCCACTGTGAGGAAAGTCCTACTAACTGCCTTATCGCGGCGGGAGTGTTTCTTAGGAAATGTCCGGCGCCTTAACCGAGTTGATGGACACGAAGAGTCCACATAGGAGAGTTGGAAAACACTGATTCCAAACCAATAATGCACGTGGGGTCCAGGATCTTGAGGGAACAAATGGATTATGAACCTATTGTTGGTCACTGGCTACCATGGGACTGCATCTCCTGATGTCGCCCCACTTCCTTGTGGACTAAATCTTTAGATCAAAAGCTCTGGGAGTAGCCCCCTAGGGAAACCACCTGCTTCGGTTTGAGCACCCGAGTAGTCTTCCAGCCCCCCACACAAATCGAATGATTTATGTGGTGCATATGTATTTGGTACCTCCATGTACCAAAGTTTATGTTCAAATAAATAATAAAACACTTATTGAAAGAAAGAATCTGAAGAAACACTATTCTTACCTCTGAAACATATTGTGATTGAACACTTCTAGTGTCAATATAAGTGTAAGTGCTTACATCTGTCTTCATAATCTCTTCCTATAATTGAACAGAAAAAAAATGAATACATCATGTTAATTCATTAAAAATTGATATAATTCACTTTGGTTTGGAGTTCATCTAGTTGTTTTTTTAACAAATCAATTGTTTCATCCTTCTCCTTTAGATCTTCTTCAGCTGGCTGAAATATGGAAAACAAATGATGAAACTTGGATACATCAAGTACTTATGCTGAAGATAACAAATAAAGCTTTTCTCATTTGTGAGCCTGTTGTTTCAAGACTGAAATATTATTAATAATAATAATAATAGCAGCAATAGTGGTAATAATAAAGCCAGTATTATTTTGTTCGCCTTATTCTTTCTTATTACGGATAATATTAAAACAGCTGTGGTTTGAATTTATTATTCACAGCCTCCTCCTACAGTAATCAACAATTTCCAGCTTCCACTTCCCAAATATCTCGGCAAATATCAATTATTTTGAAAATGGCATAATCGTGTAGTGTTGTTGAAAGAGTCGAGGACATTCCATGCAATCATCGTTTGGAAGAATATTCCATAATCTCGATGCGTAGCTTGCCGATTGGACAAATGAGAAAAACCACTGAATGAAGATTAGATGACTGTAATGATGAATTCGTTATTATCAAAATCTATAAATACCTGAGTGTCTTGTACCATATTTGACAATGTTTGGAATAAGATCCCTTCCCACTCGTCTTCTTTCTCCTAACTTGCGAATTGGAGGGTTCTAGCGTTCGAATGCTAAAGTTGTATGCGGTATATCAAAAATCCAGGTTTTAGATATAACAAATATCAAGGCCAATAACTTGTGCGATGATTCAGTTTTTAATAACAATGAATGCTAGGTATTACACTATCGCCAGTTTAGATCTGATTTTGAACGTGTTCACAGCTAACGATAATTTATTCGGAAACATGTTATACCTTTGTATACTTCGTGGGAGGGGTGCAAAGAGTGCACCTAGATATATTGAGCACACATTTCGATAACCAATCACCATTTTTTAAATATTTATGATCATATTCTCAAAATGTATCGCCACGAGTAAAGAAGAATAAACAATAACCGTTTTAATGTCAATCTCTTTCTTAACAAGGTCTTACTTAAACTAGTCACATATACTAAGTTTTGTGGAATGATTCGTGTTGAGAAAAGGGGAAAAATTGTAGGAGACAGAACTTTGAAAACTGTCCTTCGGTATATATATAGGGCTAGAGTAATGTCACTGAACCCTAACCAAATCATCCAGCAGGTAAACTACTGAATGTCAAACATTTTCCCGATTCTAGTCAAACCCAAGGACAATCAATTGCAAGTCATGGACAGGAATTTTCGGTAGTGGTTACTCATTGTACTTCTGTAACTTGTTAATACAAATAAATGCTGTTGCCTAATGAGAGTATTCATCCTAGCCAGACAATTAGAAAGCCAATCCACCTGATTATCACGATAGCGTAATCCACGTTAAGTATTAACAGCTAAATGTGACTTCTAAGTAAGCTAGGAGGTCACACCATTCCCATCCAACTCGAGTAGGCCAACAATCATCGACACAGATCAAATACTTTGGTTATATATAAATTCAATAAATAATTGGTTTGCGTTATCTTAATATTGTCTTAACTGTAAGTTTTCATCTAACTCACTAACCGTTAATATATCTCTCACTGTTTATGGATAACATTTGACCAATAATTTACCTGAAATTGTTAACTACAATGCGTTGTGGTCTTGTAAGTGATATAAATAATCATACAGTAGCTGTGCTGTGGAAATAAGTGTTATAGCTGTGTAGCACAAAATAGAAAACACAATAGATGGTACAATGTAGTAACCAAATAGAGATTATGTACCTGTTGTAAAGCCAGATATATTGAGTACAAAGAGTGAACATCCAGGTAAGCTCTCACCGTTTCTCATTTAGACCTGCCACATCTAGAATGTTCTCTCACTCAAAGTGACCACAGCCTCCTCAAATAATAGCTTTAAGAAGATACTTGACAAACATGTACTCACTCATGGACTACAATCTCCTTCTTGGACAAGCTGTCTCATGCATGTCTCATAAATTACTACGTCGTCATTACCGCATATTGGTAACTACTTCCTAACTCTCTTTGTATTATCTCCGCCTACCCTCTTATTCTTTCAATTCCGTCTTATCACATTGCTTGCAACACCAATCGGTTGACTTTTTTATTCTTGAAGCAATCGTCTTCCATTAGCACTTGAATAATCACTTTATTATTTTTACATTGAAACCAACTAACTTTATATCCTCTAATGTGATTACTCCTGGTATCCAGAAACGCTACTATAATCGAACAAATGCCCTTACTCAAGTTACAAGATATACAAATCCAAAAATAACCGTCAAACTGATTAGAATTAGTGCAACGGAGTGACTAGGTTACCACCCACTGGACATTACCAAATACCTGGAACTGTACCGAAACAATAACCTATCGGTTTTTCAAAAGCTCGTAACAAAGATACTGAGAAGTTGGATATCAAATGACTCTGAGATATTCATGCTAAGTCTAATATCAGACTGGATAGCCCTTATTTTGAACCACTTGCATGAATTAATTTTCATAGCCGAATTCGTAAAAACAAACATATTCAGAGAAACAGAATATGATAGTTTCAGTGCAAAATGCTTGAAGCACTTCAGATAATTGGAGAATTTAAAGGCCATAAGACAGTAAGACACTAACAAAGATTAGTAGTTGAGCTACAAAACGTCTTTTGTAAGTCACAACATAGCTGTTTCACCTAGAAAAAATAGAGAATCGTGAATTATGTTCTAACAAGATATTCCAATTTTCGGTAACAGGTTGTGGAGATCGTTGAGTTTTATTGATATCACGAATCGATCTAAGTTAGACCACCATTGAAAATCTAGAAGCACTGACGGTTGTTTCATCCTAGCATGGGACTCCTCAGAAGTGTGCATCCACGAACTCGCATGTGAGAATCAAACCCGGGACCCTAAGTCCCACACGCCAACGCTTAGCCTCCACGCCACTGTGTCGGAGACCAAGGGTCCTGAGTTCGATTCCCATATGAAAGGTCGTGGACGCGCACCTCTAAGGATTCCCATACTAGGGCAAAACGGCTGTTCAGTACTTCCAGATTTTCAGTTCATGATTTCAAAGATAACATTAACCTCGATCCACACCCTCCCTTTCAAAAACAGCTATAGATTAACAAGACTAACCTTAGTGGATGAATAACTTTGTACTAACTGTGTTTGATAGTCCAGAAAACTGATCACTTTCTGTCGCAGTTCATCATCCCTAGACACAGAATAAGAATGCAAATATATGTCAGCAAAACTATCTTTTCGTCAGTGGATTAAATAAATGGCGGATGCTGATTAAATATTCACCGCAGTGGAATAAGGTATTCGTTGTTGAATATCAACGTACAGTACGTAATTAAGAAATCATATAACCGTGAAGAATACCAAGTTTTTTTTCCGTACACTTTAGAGTCTATTGGTCAAGTTGACAGTGTCTTCGTAGTCGTTCTGATCGCCGTGCAGCTGTCTTCTTTGGTGCTGTTCGTGAGTCACACTCATAACGATCTTGAAACCATCTCTGCAGTTGACTGGCATTTACGCGCTTCTGCTTGTCTTCTCTGCGGATCGTGTAAACCTAGCCACGTCTCTCCGTGATAGCGTACGGTCCTTCCCACTTTGGGATCAGCTTTCCCGACCCTGATCCCCCTGCTATGTTACTTTTGCGTCCTCTACACTTTACTAGGTCACCCACTGCAAAAGGTTTCCACGTTCTCCTCTGTTGTTGCGCCTTCTTTATGTCTGATATCTGTTTCTTTTCCACGTTCCTTACTGCCCCCTCCTCTCTTTTCTTAACCTTGTTGTCGTCCACTTCTATTGTTGTGGCCAGGTCTTATTATGCATCGGAAGTCGTGGCTGTCTGCCATACATGAACAAGAAGGGTGACTTCTTGGTTGTTCCTTGTATGGAGGAACGATGCGCCAGCAAAATCAATGGTAACTCTTTCTTCCAATTTCCTCCTTTGGATGCTAACCATTCCTTTAACGTCCGATTGTTTCTTTCTGTAAGCCTGTTTGTCTGAGGATGATACGGTGTAGTTCGTATCCTCTTGATGCCAAAGTGCTTTAGACGGGTTTTAAACTCGTCACTTTCAAAACAAGGACCATGGTCAGTTAACATCATCTTCGATATTCCGTGACACGCTACAATATGCCGGATTACCACTTCGGTCACTGTTTTTGCCCGATGGTCTGCAATGGGTACGGCATCTACCCAACGTGTAGCATGTTCCGTCGTCACTAGCAGGTACTGGCTACCGCTCACCGTCCGTGGAAACGGTCCCATCACGTCCACCGACTGCAGTTACTGGGATTGACTGTAATGGCGGTTGTGCATATCGATCGCTTTTCATTAGTTGACACTGATGGTAAGTTAACACGTATTGAGCCACATCGTCTCTCATGCCTGGCAAGTATGCACTTTGTTGAAGTGAATCCGTCGTTCTTGTGATGCCTGTATGTGCTACCTGGTGACACTCGTGTATCATCTTACGCAGCCAGTCTTCTGGGATCACAACCACCCAATTCTCGCCATCGTCCTGCCAGGTCAGCACTCCATATGAGTTCACTCTCAGTCGGTCCTTTTGCCGAAGCAGCGTTATTACCTCCTTGTCCATTGTTCGTTTATCTACGTCTGCTCCCTCTTTTATCACTCTGATTACCTCTCGAAGGTTAGGGTCAGCTTTCTGCTGCCGGACGAGTTCTAATGGGTCTCCCTCTAAACTATTCACCGCGTATGCTGTTAATGGCAGGTCGGCTTCCATGTCTGGTCTTGACAAGTAATCCGCCATTACGTTTTCCTTTCCTGGAACATGGCCGATACTGAAGTCGTACTCTTGCAGACGTATCATCCATCGCGCCAACTTCCCTCGGGGGTCTCTTGCTGTTTTCAACTACTGCAGGGGTTTATGGTCAGTCTCAATGTGAAATCGTCTACCTGAAAGGTGGAAGGTTGAATACTTCTGTTCGGCGGGTGTGAAGACGCGACTCGCGTACTCCACCACTCTATCAGACTGACTCAACACAGCACCTATACCATGATCACTTGCGTCTGTGGCTACTGTAAACGGTTCCTCGGGTTCAGGCAGTCTGAGCGTCAACCGACAGTCGTCTAGCATGTTTCTGATTCGGCTGAACGTTTGTTTGGCAGTCTCAGTCCACGTAAACTTAGTGTCGCTCAACAACTTATATAGAGGTGCTGCTATTTCGTCGAAATTTTTGACAAACCGACTGTAAAACGCCGCCCTTCCAAGGAACTGTCTCAACTTCCTTTTCAAATTAGGTACTGAAATATTCTATATGGTAAGAATTTTCTCCGGCAATGGTTTTATTTCCCCATTTCCCACTTTATGTCCCAACAAAGTGACGCTACTTTTCGCTGTCTGCGACTTATCTTTATTAATTCAAAATCCAAATTCGACAATTCTCTTTAAGACCGCTTCCACATGCTTGACGTGATCTGTTTCTGTCTGACTGTACACAACTACATCGTCCCCATATACCTCGACGTTGCATAGATCTTTGGGCAGTAGCGTCATTAATCTTCTGAACGTAAACGGTGCACACGCCAACTCGAACGGCATTCCTTTAAATTGATACTGTTTATCACGTACAGCAAATGCTGTCTTGCTTCGATCGCTCTGTTTTATAGGCAGTTGCCAATAACCTGACCGTAAATCCAGCACTGTAAACACCGTAGCATTTTATAGCCGATCTAATGGTTCCACCAATATTGGCATCGCACAAGATTTCAGGTCTGTTATATTATTCAACTCTCTAAAGTCGACACAAAATCTATACATTCCATTCGGTTTCTCTATTAAGAGTACCGGCGAGGTATACGGGCTGTCCACTTCCTCAATTATACCTTCTTTCAACATCTCCTGGACCTATCGATTTACCTCGGCCTCTAAATGCACCGGGACACAACATGTCGTAAATATATTTACTCGATCGTTCTTTATTGGGATTTCGTCCTTTACTTTGTCACAAAATCCATACGGCTCCCCATCTCCAGAGAACAGCTTCGCATACTTTGTGCACAACTCGTTAATGTTTGGTTTCTTCGTCGAGACTTCCGTTGCCACTCTTATTTCAGTCACTTCGCTACTTTCGTGTATTGGCATTGAACCGCACTTTGTGACCACCTTACCGCTTCTTGGGTCAACTATCGCTTTTACTTCTCTTAGAAAATCTGCTCCTAGTATCGGTCTCGATAGCCTTATGGTTACCACGAACGGAAAATTTATCTCAGCATCACCCACTTTTACGATACTGTTGGACACCCTCAACACTTCTAAAATGCGCACTCCTATGGTGTGGACAGCTAATGTACGTGACTTGAGTCTCTTACATTGCTGCCCCTGTATCGATCATACACACTAAATTTCGTTCATTTATGTTCACTCTCGTATAAACTGCCCCTCTATCTACTAGTGCAACAACCCCCAGATTCCTAGGTTAGAAAGAACACACGTTATAACCTCCATAATATCCGCGTCTTCGTCTTGTTGGACAGTTTATCTCCCAATGTCCTGACCCTCCACAGGCGTAACATTTATCATTCCTTTTGTGATTCACTCGTATTGCCGCAATCTCACGCTCCAGCTCCTTAATCTTCTTCTCGACACTTTATTTCCTGCTTTCCGCACCCGACCAGAGCTACTGTTCGTGTCATCATCTATCAAGTCACCCCCGCTAGTTCACTGATATTCATAAGTTGCGCTGTGTTTACTAGTTTCAACTGCTAGGAAACGGTGGTAGGTACACTCTCGATAAACTGCGACGCCAACAACTGTGCCTTCGACTCTTCATCCAGATTCGGCAGCGCACGGCAAAACAACCTGGTAAGCTCCACGGCCAGCACCAGTAGGTCACCATCGACCGAAAACCTCGCCAACCGGAACTTCTGCAGTGCCTCCCCCTGTCTACTGGGCTGTCGAACTCTGCCACCAACCGCTCCGTGACTGTCCCCTATGTCGTCTTTCCTCCAGCACCGTCCAAGCTGTCATATACAGCCTTCGCCCTGCCTCTCGGCAGCGTCCCCAGCACCACCATCTTCGCCTTCGGCTCCTTCACTCCCACCAGCTCCGCCATGGCCTCAAACTCCTTCAGGAAGCCCACCACATCTCCGTCTTCAAATTCTTTCGGCCATGGAATCTTCATCCTAAGTGGAGGCAGCGACACCAAATGTAGTGAAGGACACAGATCTAGGACTGCAATTGATTAGTCTCTTATTGATAAATACTCATCCTGAGCGGATTACCTCGATATTGCCAACAAGTTACAAGCATTTTCAAGTAGAGATGGATAATGGCCATCAGTGGGATTCAGGACGCACGTTTCGTCTTATTTGCGACCCGTAAGCTGAATGTATCTGCATTCCAGAGATGATGTTCACTCCAGGACTTGAACCCAGTACTGTGTTCTTCATATGAAATCACATTATCCACCTAGCTAGAGTTCAGAAAGCCACTAGATTGTGTAATGGGATGAAATTCAATTCATTTTTGTATTGATTGTTCGATTCTTCTCAATAACGTTTAGGACTGGAATTGATCAATCTCTTATTATAGAACGGGATGCGCGTCCTGGATTACACTGCTAGCCACCATCCATCTCTGCTTATAAAACAGGTTAATGGTCATAATGCTATCGTTCGAAGTAAACAAATTCGCCCATGAGATTTTGATTTACGAACCAAAACTATCTGTGAATTAATGACTGGGAAAGGTGTGAAGACTTCTATTCCATGAGTCCACCAGGAGAAAACAAATTCATTTATCACGTATCAACTTGTTAGGCTGGTTGTAAATCACAAATAGAGGTAATTTAAACCAAACGTTTATACATATTTGCATCTAGAAATTCAATAGCATAAACAAACAGACTATATAATGAAGATATATAAATAAAACTAGAATGCAACAAATACAAGTCCATTCAGTGGTATTAAAGATTATAAAATGACTAAACAACAAAATCGTAGTCAAAAGTCCTTTATCGAATAGTTAGAATATCACTGTAGTGAACGGAAACACAAGTGGTGGACAATCGACCGTATTTTGATACAAAATTACAGAGTATCTTGGTAAAATATAAGAACCATACATAAAATACTCCATTTGTAAATATCCCATCAATTGTCTCAAACGTTATCGTTCTTTCATTGCCACAACAATTACTCACTCCTCCCGTTCCCTTCGATTTAATCTTCCCAACCTTCTGCTACCAGGTATTCCTCTTCTGATTGATGTTATACATTACCTATGTCGATATAAGTAGCATCCACCACATGACCAGCAGTGGAATCTAGGACGCGCTTTTCGACTTGTAAAAAGCCTGTGGCATAATGACTATATCGATGCAATTTGCAAAGAATGCATATATACCAACTGGAGAACTCTAATCATTACAGTCAAAATTAAAATCATTGTCAATTTTGGATGTAATAGAAAGGAATATGAAATAAATAAGCAAAAGTTTAGAATTCTAAATAATGATTAAAAACAATTGCCATTTTATCGCACTATACCCGAATTAACTAAAAGAAAACTAATGTTCAAAACAGTTAAATCAATGACAGTTGTATTATGAACACCTTGTGAATTAAGCTAGTTAGTATTCAGTTAAACAAGATTGAATAAGGCATCACTAAAATAGATAAAACTACTGACTACCTTGTGTATAGTAGTGCAAATAGATTTTAAGGAATTTCCAGCGAAAAAATTACAGATTAAGAATACTATTTTTGAAACTGAAGACAATAAAAAGATCTTTTTGTTTCTCTTTCATATAATTAATATATTACAGCTTTACATTGATAACTCTTCGGTTTGTAAAATTAAATTCCTGTCTTATTAGTGATTCATGAGTGTCACATTTTATTGAACAATGAAAACACTACCACGAATGTGTTATATTGTGGTGTAGGTTACTTATATCTACACAAGTAGTATATAACGGTAGTCAGGCATAGAATGTATTTCAGTAGAAGGTCGATGAGGAAAGAACGGAAACGGAACGCAATTGGTATGAAAACGTATGAACAATGAAATCTGAGACAATGGATTGATATTTTGCAAATTAACGATTTACTATATTGTTCTCAGATTTTATTGAGATGCTCTGTAATTTTGTACTCAAATACATTCGATTGTCCCCACTGGCGTTCTTGTTCACTACAATATGAACTTGAAAACCATAAATTTTTATTCAGTTTAATTCATATTGATTGGTTATCAAGAAATAAGAATGATAACATTTGGAGAATAAGACTTAGTCATTCGACAAAGATCTGTGAGGATGAACCAGTTTAACGACTTGACGGAATTTAGAAAATTGATGGTTATTCTTGTCAATGTTCTAGATTCCATTGATCTACTAAAATGAGTTCCTTCAGTAATCTTCGTCGAATTACCAAATTACTTCATACAAACATTGTGGTTTTTATTTTGATTATATTTGTGAAGGGAAAAGTTGCATAATTACTTTTCATTAGTCATGGATGATAAACACAAAGGTACTTCCGGTTACTATCAAAAGACGACTAACCACGACTGTTGTACTTAGACGTTATGAAGCTAATGGTAATTATAATTTTTGAGACAAGTTTAAGAACATTATGAATAAGTGTTACATCTTCAATCTAATAGTGGTCAACTAAAGTATCCGAAAAACTGCATCAAAAGCACTATTAGAATAAATATATATCAAAAACTCAGAATTAAACAGATCAGTAGACAAATAAATTCCATGATAGACATACTTTATAGTTAGAGGATTTACCAAAGGAGGTTCATTCAGAAAGAGATGAATAACAGCTTCCTGCGAAAAAAAATATTTTTATTTAAAATGGTATAAGTTGAATTACCACGTTTTTTTATCAATATTAAATACATAATGAGTAAGACTATAGTTTGATTCGGTTTCCGAGAACTAAAACGGAGCCTCCAGAGGCCCTAAAAAAGCCGAAAAGTTTCCATCCAATCAGAACATGATGGAGCTTTCTAGAATATCAATGTGGCATGCTACTATTGGATAGTAGCATAATATGTCTCGTTGCGGATCGGGCGAATTATAATGTTGATTTAACAAATGCTAATATCTATAAATACGCGTGATTTTCTGTACATTTCGATTCTTACCAAATAAACACTTCTCCAGCTTTTCTTCTGTCCTCTGGTATGAGACGGTGAAGTTCCGATGTTCGAGTGTCGTAGTCGTAAACCGTATTCTGCGTTAATCAAGTAGCGAACTTAACACTGTAGAAATAATCTGAATTTTATCTTAAATATCGATGAATTTTTATGCTCCTGCTAAGGAACATACCTTTCGCTGGAGTACATTACAATTCAAACTTACGAGGCAGAAAAATTTCGTTTACAATATACAACAAATTAAATATTAGGACACTTGTTCATCCAATATGAGACAAAGTATCATATACTGATAGATTTTAGGTAGCTGAAAACAGATGACTTTAAATTATTCCTTTTTCGTGGTGGAATCAATATAGGTGAACATCCCTAGCTCAGTTGTGACATCTTTGTGTTGTTAAATGGTAGAGGTTTGAATGAACAATAAATTAAGCCAACTCAAACGCCCAAGTTCATCTTGTAATCAGAGATACAAAACCACAAAACATGAGTTTAGTTTCTGTAGACAAGAAATATTTTGAATCTGTTTAGGTTACTAAAACAAAGAGAGCCCCTAGCGTTTTGATACTTTTGCGTACAGACAGCTTAGAGATGATAGTGCTGAATAAGCACAAATAACATTTCAAAATGGGCCAGTATAGTATAAATGTGTATTCTACCGTACAGGATTAAAAAAACCATACCTTACAAAATGTTATAAATATTCAGCGATGAACATCAATTCTAGCAATATATGAAGATTGTTCACATTGTTGAAACCCACTGACTAGATACTGATTTGGTCAAACTGTATGACCGATACTTATGTAGAAGGAATATATTGGATTTTATGTTAATTTTCACCTATCCACTTGAAGATCAGCTTAAGTGAGTTAAATAAACTAAGTCACTCATTAGGTGAATTCTCACTCTTAATTAAGTTCTCATTATTTAATACATGAAACCCGAGTCATATCAACTATTAAATGGGCTGAACATAAAACTTTCGTTATATTACACACTTTTCACGACCTAAATCGTATAAAATCGCGGGAAACATACCCATCAGGAAATGAATGATATAAAAATAAAAACTTACAAGGTCTGAGATTCGGTTTAATAGATTTAAGTTATGCGTAGATAGTTCTGCTACCAAGTTTTCATAGGAATCGAACTTATCAGAGTCTTTGTCGAAGAAAATATATGAAACCCACAGAACGTACCATCATTACGATTATCTTTTGAAAGAGATTTTTCAATATTATTCTGAGGAAGAAACAAATGGAAATTAACAATTTTTACTGCAAAGCATAGTGCGGACATCCAATAAGAGGTTACTACAAAGGTTTTCTGAGTCAAAAGATATAAATCTAGGCTGTGTCTAATGACATGAATGTTTAGCGTAACAGCTAATTAACTACAAATGCTATGCTAGGTAGCTGAATAGATAGATATAATCAATGAACACAGGAAAACATCGGAACGAACATGTAAAGAACAACATAAGTCAACAGAAAATTCAAAGTCTTGATGAATATCAAGGAATACTACATATAATCTACCATAAAAAACGTCGATCCACGTGACTAGAAGTCTTGATTCACCAACGTCAGGATTCGTTAAAATCCTAGTAAGTACTTTTACACTTTCCCAGAAGGCCCAATTCCCCTAAGTGTCAACGAATTGTGGCAGTTCTTTCATTTTCAGTTACTCTTTTAGACGTGAATATATTTTGGCAATAAAGAAGTAGGTGATGATTCTGCATAAACAGTAAGGATTGAATTTGATTCTACTGTGGTCAAGAAATATACAAAACAGCTTCATGTGCTAGGCTTTAAACCACCTATTATTTGATTGCAGTAATATCTATTTGCCGCAAAGTGTGTATATCGCACACACATTTGCAAATTAATGGTTCAGTGTCAAGTAACTTAAAGATGAAGCAGTTGCTTAAACTTAAAAACTTAGCACATGCCACAGTGTACTCGGTTCGTTGATAGGTGAAACAAGACCATAAAGTGAGGTTATATGTTCATGAACTCACATTTAACAGTTTCCTGATGAAAACGGAGGGATAACATAACGTGAAATAAAAATCCCCACTGCAGTGAGGATTTTTTAACCATGACATGGTGGACACAAAAAACTGATTTTATCTCAGAAACATGGTTAATGTCAGTAGTGGATGATAGTGAAATTCAATTACTTGGTTTCTTACTTTGTAGGCCTAACAGACTAAACTGTAGGGGTGGTGGGGTTATCCTGTATATGGAAAGCGCCCTAACCATACGAGCTCCCCGAACAATGGCACGCGACTCAGGGAAGTGAGAAATGGAGCACCACTGGTTGGAATGTAAAAGGCAAGACATTGAATTTGTTGCAGTATAGCGCAGTCCAGAATGTTTAATGGATTACTTCCCCTTGAATAAACTTAAATCCTAGTCAAACAGGTGTAACAGCCTTATGGTAGGTGACTTTAATGCACTCTCTATAAATTGGGGTAGCTTAGGAGTAGGAGCATCGAGAACGTCGTTTGATTACAAATTGTTAGGAACCACAATCGCCCTAGCTTTATCTCAGCATATTAGAGATCCCACAAGATACGAAACTCCTCGTATCTCTTAAACTTAGTCTTTACACATAATGATGATGCTAGTCAAATAACGTTCCCACCACCTATTATTTATGGCGGTTGTACAATCAAGTAATTCAGCCATTTATGCCTTGAACAGTCACAAAGAATAAAAAGAACTGTCATTCCTGTGTAAATAGAGATTCCACGTTCACATGTTAGGGCGTCGCAATCAGCCTTTACAAAACAAATACGTTGGAACGCCAAAGGTTTATCCAGAATAAATGTACTGCCACAATCCAGGCAGCTCAGTGGAAATATGAAAAGCAGTTGTCACGATCTGTAATCAAGCGGCTGTTATCGTACATAAATTGAAGAACAAGGACGTATCATTGGATCCCCAACCTAATTACAAAAGGGAGTGAATCTCAAATGATAAAGATCGAGACAAAGCAGAAGACATAGTGGACTACTTCAAGACAGTTTTTACTCAGGAGCCACATTTAAACGAAGAATTAGACTTAACGAAAAAGTCAGAAAATCGGCAACTTGCTGCGTACTTTGATTAGAACAACGTACTGAAGGTAATTAGGACTTTAGGTACAGAAAAATCAACAGAACCGGATGAACTGCATCATGTAATCTTGAGACAAATTTCACAATAAATTTATGCCCTGCTGATGACAATATTCAATATGTCACTTGGGCGAGGTGAGTTACCTATGGACTGGGGGAACGAAATTGTCACTCCGATTCATAAAACAGGATCTGTCAGCCTCACCAGTGTCATAGTTAAATACAGGAAAGAATACTCAAAAATGCCACAATGACAGTCTTGGAAACCAAGAACTCGTTAAACAGAGAACAACCTGGTTTTAGGGGAGGATCGCCTTGCACAAAAACCTTTTTATAGCAAGAGAAAAATGGAGTATCTCTAAATAATCGGTAATCAGTGGTTATTTTCTACACAGACCTCAGCAAAGCATTTGATAAAATCCCGAATAATAAACGGCTCGTGAAGCTACAAAATCTAAGAATCGCCAGACCTCTAATAAAGTGGGCAAAGAATTTTTTGGTAGTTCGTAGACAGAAAGAATAAATTTCGAATGCTCCACCCGGAAACCAGTACTTAGTGGAATATCGTAAGACACTATTCTATGTTCATTTTTGTACTGCGTGCGAATGAACTCAAAAGTATAAAAGAGCCCCTGATGCTACTATACGCTGATGTGAAAATCCAGAGAGAGATAACAGAAGACGCAGATGCATGTGAACTTCAGGCGAACTTATACATTCTCATTAGCTGGTCTAAAAATGCATGATGCCTACCAACGCGGCTAAGTGCATGCACATTGAGGACAAAAAGGTAATTCGGTACAAAATACGGGAAGAGTCGATGCTCGTACTCCGGTCTAACAACGATCTTGGGGTAAGAATGAGTCATGATCTTAAGACCACGGCCCACTGACGCGCGGTCGCAGATAAGGAGTTCAGGACCCTATGAGCCTTAAGGCGGACATATACCAAGTTAGATGCTAATATTTCCAACACAATACACACAACCTGGATTAGGTCTAGACTTAAGAACTGCGTTCAAAATGCAAGCTCCTTGTTAAAATGTGACTCTGGAATCTTGGAAAAAGTACAGAGAGCAGCCACCCGTGCAACTCCACAGCACCGAGGTTTGCCTTCTGCAGAGAGGCTTGAGAAGCTAGGCTTCTTTATCCTGTCCTATCACAGATTGAGGGGTGATTTGATTTTAATGTACAGAATACTATAAAATGAATTCGGAACTAATATATCCTCTTTTTTCTTCCTACTATATAAGATTTAAGATCATGATGACCTAGGCACAGCAGGCGAGTACAAAATTCAAGGGAGAGCAAAATACGCGTGGTACACAGGCTTTCACAGTGAGTCATTAATTCTTGGGACCTGTTAAGCGAAGTGGTGTACACCACAGACGTCTGCCCCTTCAATAGACTCATTCAACAAAAAAATTGACAATTTCGGGAGATTACTAAAAGAAGACTGGCACAGGCTATAGGCTTTCTGTTCTCAATAGGCAAATCTGAAAATCTGGATCGGCGAGTTATCTCATAAATTATAATCTCAATTCTGAATCTGGTGATTACGAAACTTACAGACAGACTTCCATGTGACGATTCGAAATGCACCATAAGTGAGTCTGAATTTGAGAAAGACTCCAGACACTCAGGGCAAACGAAGCCAGATACTGCGTTGTCTAAGCAAATTACAGAAGATGAGAAACATACTTTCAGCTGACATACGACCTTGGGTTGACCTTGAAGAGACAGTCTTCAGTCTTCAGTCTTCAGTAATAAGGATAGGAGGTCTGTCGACCTATATTAATCCTTGCAGTTTGTAATACTGTGGAGGTCCAATCTCGTTTTGAATATATTAACAGACGGTGCTGATATTACGTGTTCCGGTAGGGAATTCCAGTAATTCACTACTCGGTGCGAGAAACGGAACTCCAGACGTAAACGGTTTGACCTCGGTTTTTGAACTTTCTTCGAATGTCCTCTCAAATGATCGGTTCTGGACGGAAGCAAAAGATAAGACATGTTAATACCAAGGTCATCGTTCAGTATACGATAAGCCAATATTAGATCACCCCGTACTCTACGGTAAGATAACGGAAATAAGTTAAGGTGTCTCAGTCTGTCTTCATAAGATAGGCCAGCTAGACCTTGTACCATCTTAGTAGCTCGTCGTTGGACTCTTTCTAGCATATCTGCTTCATATTTGAAACAAGGACTCGCTGCTTGAATCCCGTATTCTAAATGTGGTCGCACATAAATCGGGTATAGTAATCCAAACATTTCATCATCTAAATACTGGAAAGACCTACGAATTGACCATAATACCCTGTAGCCTTTTGCAGCAGCAGCCTTACAGTGACTAGTCATTTTGAGATCATTGCTTAATATAACTCCTAAGTCTTTGTGGTTTCTTGCTTTGGGTAGCACGAATCCACGTAGTGTATAGTCATACGATTCATCTGAGTTATTTAACTGCATCACTACACTCTTATTAGGATTTACTTCTAGTGACCACCTGTCTAACCATGCCACCAATGAGCTAAGATCGTCCTGTAATACTATTCTATCCGACATACTATGTATGGGTCTCCAAATCTTTATGTCATCAGCGAAGAGTAGAACGGATGATTTTGCTACAGTTGGCAATTCATTTACATAAAGTAAAAAGAGAAGAGGACCTAGGATTGTGCCTTGGGGAACCCCACTTTTTACAGGTACCCACGAGGAGAGAGCCCCATTAACCCTTACCCTTTGTCTCCTGTCATGGAGAAAGTTACTTATCCAATCGACGACTGTGTTATGGATTCCAAAACGTTTCAGTTTGAATTTAAGACCAGAGTGTGAAACCTTATCAAAGGCTTTACTTAGATCTATGAAAATTACATCCACACAAGCATTCCGATCCTTTGCCGCAGCCCACTCTTCTCGTGCAATGAGAAGATTTGTCAAGCAAGATAGGCCTTTCCGAAAACCATGTTGTGCCCTGGAGAAAAGATTTTGCCCTTCAACATAGTTTATAACAGCTGTCCGAATGATTTTTTCCATCAGTTTCACAACTGCACTAGTTAAGCTAACGGGTCTATAGTTACTAACTAAATCCCTACTCCCAGCCTTATACACCGGACTTATTATGGCGTCTTTCCAGTCTCTAGGAAGTCTGGACTGTCTCAGAGACATGTCGAATA